AAGCGGTGGAGCGGAGGTGAGCTAGGGCAGGGGGGCGCAGGGAGGGCCGCCTGCAGCAAGTAATGGGGGGGGGGCGGCGCACAGGAGAACCGCTCCCCGCCCCAGCTCACCTCTGCTCCACCTCCTCCCCTGAGCACACCGCCCCGCTCTGCTTCTCTCCCTCCCAGGCTTGCCCGCCAAACAGCTGATTGGCGCTGCAAGCCTGGAAGGTGGGAGAAGCAGTGGCATGCTCGGGGAGGAGGCAGAGCAGAGGTAAGCTGGGGCGGGGATTTGCCACACCCGCCTCCCCAGGCCAAGGGAGGGGGCGGTGGGGAGCTGCCGCAGGGGGGGCGCCTCAGGGCAAGGGGGGCCCGGGGAGCTGCCACAGGGCTGGAGGGGGACGAGCGCAAGGTGGAAGTTTCGCCTAGGGCATGACACGTCCGTGCACCGGCCCTGCTTGGTGGTAGATGGTTGTGAAAACGAGGACTGTGATTGAGGAGCCCTGTATCTCTGTGATTGTTGTTTATTTCTGTTGTGGTCAAAATGCTGTTGTTGTGAGCAGTGCAAAGAGGTGTCTTTGCCCTTTTGGTATGGTTGGTACTGATGCCTTTTGTTAGGTGGCGTATAAATGCCTAAAGTGCACAAGGCGGCCTGAGAGTCCTTCACAGTGTGAAAAATGTTGTCTGTTTTTGTGGAAAAGAACTTCTCCTGATCGAAGGGGAGATCCTCCAACTTGAGTTGGAGATCTTTTGGGATACCGGATGACTGCAACCACGAGGCCCTGCACATTATGACAGCTGTCACTGTCGTTTTGCAGCAGTGTCTGCTACATTCATTGAGGCCTGTAGGGCTGCATGGGTAATTAGTTGTCCCTCATTCATGATGGCAGTGAACTGGGGATGTTTTTCCTCCAGTAGAGCCTTAAGGAATTCTTGCAGTTTACTGTAGTTGTCAAAGTTGTACTTTGCAAGAAGGGCTGAGTAATTGGCAGCCTGGAATTGGAGTGTTGCCAACAAGTACACCTTTCGACCAAAAAGGTCTAATTGTTTGTGTTCTTTTTCTTGTGGGGTGGACCGGAATTGGGGTTGTTTGCTGCAATGGTTGGCAGCTTCCACAACCGGAGAGTTGGATTGTGGGTGAGAGAAGAAAAAGTCCATCCCTTTAGCTGGGATGAAGTAGTTTGTCAGCTCTTTTAAAGGTGGTATGGTTGTGGGGTTCTGCCAAATATTCTCCGCTGGCTCCATTATGGCATTGATGATGGTCAGTACAATTTTGGATGAAATGGATGTCTAAGATTTGTAGCAGCTTGTGCTGGTTTTCTTGCACCTCCTCGAGTGGAATGTCTTGCCAGGCGGCTACTCTTTTTAAAAGTTCCTAAAATTGTCTCAGGTCATCTACTATGGTTGGAGGCAGTGGTATGACTGCGTCGTTAGAAGAGGAAGATGAGTTGTAGGCTGGCAAAATGCCTTCATGATCTGAGTCTTCTTCCTTCTCATCTGCCAGGCTCTCGGGTGCCTCCGAAGTGTCCTTGCTCTCAGGGAAGGTGGAGAAGAGCAAATTTCCCCTTGGGCTGGAGTCAAGGGTCTAGTGTAGTGAGCCCTCTATGCCGCCCAGGGTCCCAGGGGGGCCACTGCATAGGAAAGGGCATTGGAGAACAAATCCAGGGTTGCCCATACCACTGCTGCATCTCACGAGGTTAGCAGGACTTGGTATTAATGGCATCCCATGGAGGTTTCTGCTCTGTGGGTGAAGAGTGCTGGGAAGAGAAATGGCTCCCATGTAAGTCCTCCTTCATCACTGGAGTTGGGCTGGGGAGCAGGTGGAGTGGGTAGCTGTTGCGCTATGGAGATCCCTCAGTGCCGAGCAACGGCAACTGCGGCACTAAAGAGACCTCTATGTCTTTGTGGTGTAGAAACTGTTGCAGAGCAGCTTGTTTCTGTGGCGGCAGTGCTGTTGGTGCAGATGTGGTCTGCTTTGCTGCCAGCCTTGGTTGAGACTGTCAGTGCCATTTTCAGTCTGTCAGTCGGTGCCAATGATTGAGTTGGTGCTAGCATTGCTAGTGGCACAGGTCTCGGTGCCGAGCCCCACACCAGGGTGGTCGATGCCGTGAAGGAGTGGTGTTTCGAGTCTGTGCCGGTGCGGGGGGGCGTGGCAGAGGAGGGACGGTGCCAGAGGAACCTGGAGCCTCAAAGATGCAAACTTTAGTTGAGCTCGGCATTGAGGATAGCAACCTCCCCAGGGACCTCTTCTTTTTCTGAGTATCCTTATGAGGGAAGGTCATGGCTTGCTTCCTGGACGATTTGGAAGACTGAGCACGCACATGAGCAGAGGTTTTGTTTGGAACCATCTGATGATGTTGGTTTTGGTCCCTGAGGAGAAAGCTGAAGGGACTTTTCCATCAAAATCACCTTGAGGCGGAGACAAATGCAAAGTACTCCATTTAGGAAGGAACAATCAGTTGCACACACATACAAAATGGGAAATGACTGCCTAGGAAGGAGTACTGCTGAAAGGGACCTGGGCATCATAGTGGACAATAAGCTAAATATGAGTTAACAGTGTAACACTATTGCAAAAAAAGCGAACATTCTGGGATGTATTAGCAGGAGTATTGTAAGCAAGACACGAGAAGTAATTCTTCCGCTCTACTCTGCACTGATTAGGCCTCAACTGGAGTATTGTGTCCAGTTCTGGGCACCACATTTCAGGAAAGATATGGACAAAATGGAGAAAGTCCAGAGAAGAGCAACAAAAATAATTAAAGGTATAGAAAACGTGACCTATGAGGGAAGATTGAAAACACTGGGTTTGTTTAGTCTGGAAAAGAGAAGACTGAGAGGGGACATGATAACAGTTTTCAAGTACAGTAACTCCTCACTTAACGTTGTCCCGGTTAACTGTTTTGTTGTTACGTCGCTGATCCGTTAGAGAACATGCTCATTTAAAGTTGCACAATGCTTCCTTATAATGTTGTTTGGCAGCCGCCTGCTTTGTCCACTGCTTGCAGAAAGAGCAGCCCGTTGGAGCTACCTGCTGGGGCTTGGAACCAGGGTCAACTGGCAGCCCCCCATCAGCTCCCCTAAGTTCCCTGTGGGGCAGCCTCCCAGCAAGCTATCAATTGCCAGGCAGTTCAGGTATCCCTCCCCGCACTGCCATGTGCTTCTTCTTCCCTCTGCCTTGGAGCTGCTCCCAGGAGCCTCCTGCTTGCTGTGCAGAGGGTGGGGGGGAAGAGGGGTTCTGATGTCAGGGTGTCCCTCTCCCCCTGCACCCCATCTCCACAGAGTGGGGAGAGGGGGGCAGGACAGAGGGAGCTTGCTGGCAACAGCTGCTGTCTCAACTTGCTGATCTACTTAAAAAGGCAGTGTACTTAGAGTGGGGTCAGGGTACTTAAAGGGGCAATGCGCATCTCTCCCTCTCTCACACACACACACACACACACACACACAGTGTGTCTCTGTCTCATTCTCTCTCACACACACACACACACGCATCCCGCCATCCGCACACCTTGGAAAGTGGAGGGAGTGTTGTGCTCCAGTGGGATAGCGTGGGTTCATCATGTTCAATTTCCACAGGGAATGTTTGCAGCCACTGCTATGCTGTGTCTCCTCCCTCCATTCCTGCTGCCTTGTAGAGTGTGAGGCTACATTAACAACAACGTGTTAACCCTTGAGGGCTCAGCCGAGTGCTACTTCATTATCTAGCAGTAAGGCATTCCCTGGGAAATATCCCACCCTCTGACTCCACCACCTCAACCAAACTTCACAATCATCATTGCTGTGTACAGTATTAAATTGTTTGTTTAAAACTTATACTCTGTGTGTGTGTGTATATATATATATATAGAGAGAGAGAGTGTGTGTGTGTGTGTGTCTTTTGTCTGGTGAAAAAAAATTCCCTGGAACCTAACCCTCCCTATTTACATTAGTTTTTATGGGGAAATTGGGTTCGCTTAGCATCGTTTTGCTTAAAGTAGCATTTTTCAACAACATAACTACAATGTTAAGCGAGGAGTTACTGTACATAATAGATTATTACAAGGAGGAGGAAGAAAAATTGTTCTTCTTAACCTCTGAGGATAGGACAAGAAGTAATGGGCTTAAATTGCAGCAAGGGTGGTTTAGGTTGGAGATTAGGGAAAACTTCCTGTCAGGGTGGTTAAGCACTGGAATAAATTGCCTAGGGAGGTGGTGGAATCTCCATCATTGGAGATTTTTAAGAGCCGGTTAGACAAAACACCTGCCAGGAATGGTCTAGATAAGATAGTCCTGCCATAAGTGCAGGGGACTGGACTAGATGACCTCTCGAGATCAACTTCCAGTCCTATGATTCTATGATCTCTGTCATGCCATGTCCTGGCTTACAAGGTTGTACAGCACGCACAATGTTGAGGGATGAGTCTCCCCCAAACAACAGACACACGAGTGGCTCTCTGAGACAGGCATCGCCTCACAGCACAAGTCCCAGCATATAAACCCGGGCAAGCCAGGCATCGTGGCCATTAAAAGTTTCCCAACAGAGAAAGAGTGGGAATGATAGCAATTAATTTTTTTTGAAAGAACAGTATCCAAGTAAGTAAACTAGACTTACTAAACTACAACTAATCTAAATATTGCTACAGAGAGAAAAAACAAAGAGGCAGCACTGCCACTGAGCTCCATCTACAGCCGAGGACGGTGGGGAAGGAACTCAATGGGTCGAGTCGTGCACGGGTCGTGCGGCATGAGGCACCAACGGCGAGATACCCGCTGCGCAGGCAGGCCCCAAGCCAGCACTGCCACAGCAAATCTCCCATCTGCAGTGCAGGGACGCACGGGCACCTGAGGTGGACACTACTCCAAGAAATATCATTCTCTTCAGGTTACTCCTGAGAAACTGAGCCTCAAAGAGGGAAAGTGGCCCAATGTCTGCAGCAGACCAAGGAACTAGGCCCAGACTTCCTGACTCCCAATCGCCACAAGACCTTCCGCACAAGCTCATGCGTCTTCCCTGTCACTGGCCCGGGGCCTGCATTTCAGGGTGCCCGGGTGTGTGCCAGACTCATCCACACACTCGCCGCCAGGCTGAGGCTGCTCTGGGCCAGGGTCACGCCGAGCGGGGCTCTTCTGAGAGTCCCAGGGGAGCGGCAGGGTGAATTCCCGACCCTGCCCCCTAGAGTTCAGGCCGGACATGAGCAGCGCGGGGTGCCCAGCCCGGCGGGAGGCGCCGAGCCCAGGACAGGGAGCGGCGACAGGCGGCTGGCGCGGCGCTAGTCTCCCCCCGCCTGGGCGGGACAGCAACAGAACAGCGGCAGGAGAAGAAGATGGCGGCGGCGGCGGGAGCAGCCGCCTCGGAGCAGGTCTGTGCCCGCTCCCCACACGGCGGGGCGCGCGGGGGGCAGCCGCCTCCAGGGCTCCCTCGCCAGAGGCGGAACAGCCCCAGCGGCGCCCGGGCCCCAGGGAAAGCGGCCGCGGACGAGCCCCTCCCAGGCCGCTGTGCCGGCACCGCCCCCAGCCGTGGCTCCTTAGGGACCCGAGTTCTCAGCCCGGCCGTGTGAACCGGCGGGGACACCAGCGGCATAAACACCCCCAGGGGAGCCTGCTCCGTGGCCCGCAGAGGAGCGCCCGGCCCCGAGCCTGCCCCAGGCCGGACTCCAGCCAGCCCCTCCTCTGCCCGCGGGCCGTGAGAGCCCCGCAGCGTTCCGAAGAGCCTGCGGCCCCGCTCTGCGCCGAAACCCGTCTGCACCGTGCTCTCCCCTCCCCCAGGGCTGGGCTCACGAAAACCTGCTCTTCCCTGCTGGGGGAGAAGCTAATTAGAGCCGAGACAGTTGTCTGTATTTAAAGTTGCTGCCCGTGGCGTTTGATGAATGGGTGGTGGCGAGATTGTGTTTTGTGAAAAGAAAAGGAGTACTTGTGGCACCTTAGAGACTAACCAATTTTTTTGAGCATGAGCTTTGGTGAGCTACAGCTCACTTCATCGGATGCATACCGTGGAAACTGCAGCAGACTTTATATATACACAGAGAATATGAAACAATACCTCCTCCCACCCCACTGTCCTGCTGGTAATAGCTTATCTAAAGTGATCATCAGGTGGGCCATTTCCAGCACAAATCCAGGTTTTCTCACCCTCCCCCCCTCCCCCCCACAAATTCACTAGCACCAGCAGGAGAGTGAATTTGTGTGGGGGGGTGGAGGGTGAGAAAACCTGGATTTGTGCTGGAAATGGCCCACCTGATGGTCACTTTAGATAAGCTTCGAGAACAGCTGTTTTATTACAACACAGGACAGACAGCAGGACAGTGGGGTGGGAGGAGGTATTGTTTCATATTCTCTGTGTATATATAAAGTCTGCTGCAGTTTCCACGGTACGCATCCGATGAAGTGAGCTGTAGCTCACGAAAGCTCATGCTCAAATAAATTGGTTAGTCTCTAAGGTGCCACAAGTACTCCTTTTCTTTTTGCGAATACAGACTAACACGGCTGTTACTCTGAAACCTGTGTTTTGTGAGTGGGTGTGGGGGGGGTTGTTTTTCTTTGCACATTGATTTTCTGTTACTCAAGTAGTAAAATCAAACAAAAATTCATAGTGCCTGATTTATGCTGAATTTCATTGCAAGCAAACCCTTTCACAGTTGCCTTTTCCTTTCAAGATGATCTGAAAATGTTTCAGAGTTGTGAGGGTGGGTGAGGTAAAATCTTTTTCTGGACCATCTTCCTGTTGATGGAAGGGACAAGTTTGCCTTTCAACCTTGAAAACCGCGACCTCTCTCTCATATCCTGGGATCAGGAGGGTTATAACCGGAGCAAACTTGCCATATCTGGGGTTTTAATTCAAAGCCCAAGCTTCTGGAGTCCAATGATTTCTTGAGCATCTCAGCTTTTTTTCTTTTTAAACTAAATTTCTAGTCCTTATGGTTTCAGAGAATAGTTTGGAAACCTGAACTCAGAAGACAAATAAAATAATGAAATGAAAAATGATTGGCTTAAAAATCATTAGATTTTTTAAATGTCATGATTTTACAGGACCTGATTCTTTTGAGTGCTTGCAGTTGGCAACAGTGTTTTGTTTTTTTAAATGGTATTTTTGCTTCTTTATTATGTGTAAAGGCCTGGAAGGTTTTTGAACACTCCCCCCGCACCTGCTTGTTTAAATACATCTAAAAATATTAGAGAGACAAGATTTATTATAAAGGGACTCCAGTTTGTAATCAGATATTCTTCAAAGGACTACTAATTTTTAATTTCTATTTTTAATTGATCTTGATTCTTTGAAAAGTTTTAATTATCATTGTGCAAGCTGTATTACTGTGTTTTCTAAGGCCCCGCATCTATTTGCACGGGCAAGACTGATTAAAAGTGTAGTGAAAGAACTACATTTTGTATCAAGCCTCTCACATTACATTTGTTTGAAAAATTAAGGATGACCAGTCACAATGTGTGCAGCCAAGAAAAAACATCGCTTTTTGCTATGCTATAATAGAACTTTGTTATATATAGTGCTAGCTGTTGGTAGGGGTAAATGACAGAAATTTAGGTTTCAGAGTAACAGCCGTGTTAGTCTGTATTCGCAAAAAGAAAAGGAGTACTTGTGGCACCTTAGAGACTAACCAATTTATTTGAGCATGAGCTCACGAAAGCTCATGCTCAAATAAATTGGTTAGTCTCTAAGGTGCCACAAGTACTCCTTTTCTTTTGACAGAAATTTAGATACTCATTAAAAATATTGAAATACTCTTCATACATCTGAAGTGGGTATTCACCCACAAAATCTTATGCTCCAATACATCTGTTAGTCTATAAGGTGCCACAGGACTCTTCGCCGCTTTCATTAAAAATGTACATTGGAATACAGATTCACCTATAGGAACAGTGTCTGTATATTTATATAATAGGAAAAAGCGGTTTTCCCATTCACATAGTCTGAATTTTGTTAATAAAATGTACATTTGTTGTAACATCTCAACATAGGAGTAAATGTCTTTTTCAATCTCTCAGTTGATAAATCAGTATACAGCTGTGTAGTTTATTGTAAATAGAATTGTGATCATATGCTTCATTTTATTTAATTTGTTCTAGTGTGATGGTTTGTTGACAGTGTTTAAATATGACTTAGGCTGGGTTTTCAGTCTAGTTATCTGAATTCTCGCTCAGAGTAGTGGAGGCTAAAATGATCAAAGGAGTGTCATCATCTGTCTCTGAGAGGAAAAGGGGATGGGGGGGGGGGAGAGAGATATACTCTCATAGTTCATCATCCATGGAAGTAACATTAGATGTGGCCTGAAGAGAGAAAGGAGTCACTATGTGCCCAGTCTTGCAACATTATTCTTGGGAGAATTTTGTGCCACTGCGCAATGCAGAATTTTGCAGAAATTAACATTGTGCATGCAGAATTTCCTTTCCCCCACAGAAATGCGCTGGACCCAGCAGAGCTCAGCTCACACATAGAAGACACTGCTGGAGGGAGGGAGAGGGAGCTAGAGGGTTCCTAGCAGCTGCAGTTCCCAGAACGCTCTGAGGGAAGGAGACAGTGGCTTGCAGGAAACTCCATGCAAACCTGGGACCAAGCATCAAGTTGTTTCTCCCTCTGGATCCCTGGACTCTGGGGCGGAGGGGGACAGGTGTCTGGGCTGAGGGGGAGTGGGCATGGCTGGGCTCTGGGGGGTAGAGGTGTGGGTATCTGGGCAAGGGGGAGGCCCACGACTGGGCTCAGGGAGAGAGGGTGCGGGTAACTGGGCTGGGGGTCCCCATGACTGGGCTCTGGAGGGGAGAGGGTGTGGGTGTATTGGCTGGGGTCACTGTGGCTGGGCTCTGGGGGGGGGAGGGGTTGTGAGCATCTGATTTCCTCTCCCTCACCCCCAGCTGGGCTCTGGAGGGGGGTGAGGAGGGAGGCAGAGAACAGGAATAGGGTTGTCATAGGGGTTTCTCTAACTCTCTACTCCTGGGGGAATTTTTGTGTGTGTGTCTGTAGTGTTACAGACATATTTGCAGACAAGTATTTTGAAATAAATTACCAAAATAATTGAAACTGGTGTGATTATGTAGTTTTATTATGCCAAATAAAATTTGTAGAATTTTAAAATATTGTGTGCAGAATTTTTATATTTTTGGTGCAGAATGCCCCTGGGAGTAAAACATTTATTATGTTTAAGTTAGACTTGCATGTGAGTAAAATTGATCTGCAGAATGTTTGCAGGATTAGACCTCAAAATAGCATCTTGCTGTATTGAAAGAGAAGAAAAATAGGGAGAAAGAACAAGGTACCATAAGGTTTTGTACAAAGCTCTAAAAATATGGGAGTCTTATAACCCTTCCACTTTCTATCCCTGAGAATACTTTATATGAAAGTATTCCCTACCTGTTAATTTGCCCTCCAGTAATATCAATGAAAGTGATACTGTCACCTTGAGATCTAGTCAGTTCAAAACAGTAAGTTAAAACTATTTTTAGTTATACATGCCCACGAGTTTCCCTACTAGTTTTTTGTGGTTTTACAATGTTTTTTCTCTTCCCTTTTCCTGAAGTGAAAGACCCCCAGAAACAGAGAAAACTGACTATGCACAAAATGTTTTTAAATTTAATTTAATTGGTTTTAAAGTGCCTCTGTAGTGGTGTTACTTAAAAATAGATAAACTAAACGTTGGGATAGCAGACAAATATTCCACTGGTTCAAACTCTTACTTTTGTTATAAATTTTGATTACCTGTAAAATAACCATTTACCCATGCTTTGTGTCATGCTGTAGCAAAGTTCTAATGGCCCTGTGAAGAAGTCTATGCGTGAGAAGGCTGTGGAGCGGAGAAACATTAATAAAGAACACAACAGTAACTTTAAGGCTGGATATATCCCAATTGATGAAGACCGTCTCCATAAAACAGGCTTACGGGGCAGGAAAGGCAACTTGGCTATTTGTGTGATTGTTCTCCTTTTTATTTTGGCTGTCATCAATTTGATTGTGAGTATAATACTTAGGCTACAAGTGAGTTTGGGCATGCTTGTTTTACTTTTTATTGAGTATTTACTAAATAAATATAAACTTTCTCCAGCATAGATCAGAATACTTTGGAAAGCACAATCTTAAAGTGTATTAAGGGGGATTACTTTAATTTTTTCCCTACATTTCCTGCTTATTTTTAGTCTCAAAAAGATTATTTCAAGGTGTTTTATTGTGGGGTTTTTATTAGCAAGAAGTCCCCAATCTTTTTTTTTTTTCCTTGTCTTTTCCTTAGTATGACTAATCAGACCAATGATTTTTTCCTCCATTCCTTCCCAAAGTTCTCTGTTGTTATTAAAAATAGCATTATAACATTGCAAGATGTTCTACAGAGATTAAAAAGACAGTTCCTTCCACGAAGAGCTTAAACGCTAAATCTTATTTTTACATTCTCTCATCTAAGAGGCCACATGTATCAAGACCACAACCAAGCCTATGCTCCTAATATTAATCAGGAACAGGAATCTTCTGATTATTTCCACACCCAGAGCTGTACATGACAAACAATGCAAATTATTACCAGTGCAACGTTCAATACAATTATTCTGAATTAATGTATGCAATGAAGTGCTCTCAACCCATCAGATCACAGGAATGTTGTATAGTTACTAACTGAACTGTATATTAGTTTTCAGAATTCATCCTGTACAATTTGCACTCTGATTTGCTACTGCAATTCACTATTTTAATACCCACCTTTGCGTCTCATCTCCTCATAGTTAGGCATTTCAGTATACCATCAACACTGAAGGGTCCTTTTTTTTAACTCAAGACTGGGTTAACAAACACCTTTCACGTTGAGTTTATTTAGCTTAGGATACAGCCAGTATCTCAAACAGGATGATGTCTCAAGCCATCATCCACATTACTTAATTTCAGAGTGTTCAAGTGTAGGGAGAATGTAGGTTTTTATAATATTTTACAAACTATTTTAGATCATATTTGAGATGGGTTAAAAATAACCATGTATTGTGATTAACTGCATTTCTGTGTTTTCAGTGGAAAGAAAGCATAAACATAGTAAAGCAAAGGAAAATAGTTTCTTTAAAACAAACTTCCTTTCACACACCCATTGTAAAAATCTCTAGTACTTAAATCATTTGTATGCTTGTGGTTATTTTAAATGTAATAACTAATTAAACGCTCCTTTTAAAAAAAGTATTTTGACCACTCTGTTTTCCTGCATCTGTAGTATTAAAATAAATATGAAACTATGCTTGTGTTACTGTTTTAGATCACACTTGTCATCTGGGCTGTGATTCGTATTGGGCCCAATGGTTGTGACAGCATGGAGTTTCATGAGAGTGGCTTACTGCGATTTAAACAAGTATCCGACATGGGAGTTATACATCCATTATATAAAAGTACAGTAGGAGGCAGGCGTAATGAAGATTTGGTTATCACTGGAAATAACCAGCCTGTAAGTTACATCATGAGCTGAACATATATGGTAAACAATATGGGGGAATTGCATTATTATTATTAATCATAACTATAGTAAAAATGTTTTTGTCATGTTTTAAAATAATTTTAATGATTTATTTCCGCAGATTGTATTTCAGCAAGGAACAACAAAACTTAGTGTGGAAAAGGACAAAACCTCCATTACCAGTGATATTGGTATGGAATTTATTGACCCAAGGACACACAATACTTTGTTCAGCACAGACTATGAGACTCATGAGTTTCATTTGCCAAATGGAGTGAAAATTTTGAATGTACAGAAGGCATCTACGGAGAGGGTATGAACTGTTTTAATAGCTCACTTTTTCTTTTATATAAAGGCTAATTATGGAATTGTTTGTTATTGCAAAGTAGGAATGCAGTTTGTGTTGTGACGTGACCATATTCAAGTAAATACAGAAGTATAACCAAAAAAGTATTTTGACATGAAGTAACTGTTGCAAAATGTAAACAGTAAAATCCTGAAGAAAAGTTGTAATAAAGTTATGTTCTTTTTGTGGTACACTGTTGCAAGTAAGAGAATAAGTTAAAATAAAATAAAATGCTTTAACTAACCATCCTAACATATCAGGACCAGAATACCCAAATTTATTTTTCTGTTTGCCATTGGAGTTTTCCTGTTTGATCATGCACCAGCATTTATGATTTTTACAGCTAACTGGTCCAGAAATAGCTTGTTGTATAATTATTACTGTTCAGAGGTTGTGGAGAATTCAGATTTTTTAAAAAAAAACTCAATTCTTTAAAAATACCACACGCACACGTGAGTACACACAACCTGTGCCTATTGCTTTCTTTTCCTTGGCAATAGATTTGTAATAATCAGATGACATTATCGAGCACATGATAACAATTTTTTATGTGCAGTTAAACTGAAAAGTGAATGGCATTGCAGGGTTCCATGTTTGTCAGATTGACTTCCAGATCAAATGTGCCCCATTTATTAGTAAAAAAGATGATGTTTTCCAACTGCCAGCATTACAAATTCAACATGGGATCTGAAAATCAAGCTCTGAGGTTTTTCTTCCACATCACCATCTGTAATAAAGATTCTTCAGGCCACATTAAGACCTTAGGGCCTGGCTACACTGGAAACTTCAAAGCGCTGTTGCGGGAGCGCTCCCACGGCAGCACTTTGAAGTGCGAGCGTGGTTGCGCGCAAGCACTGGGGGAGCGCTCTCCCAGCTCTCCTGGTAATCCACCTCCACGAGGGGATTAGCTCCGAGTGCTGGAAGTGCAGCTCCCAGCGCTCAGAGCCTGTTTACACTAGCACTTTAAAGCGCTCTGACTTGCGCTCAGGGGGGTGATTTTTCACCCCCCTGAGCAAGCAAGTTAGAGTGCTATAAAATGTAAGTGTAGCCAAGCCCTTAGTCACAACTGTACAACACCATTGCCTTCAGTAGGTTTACACAGGTAATTGGCTGTGTACTTAGAATTTAGTGAACAATTTTGTTGATGACGTACAAGAAGGAATAGAATCCAACTCACTCTCTCAGTGATGTTTACGCTGCAGAACTAACAGGAATAAAAAGTAAACTTATTTTTGTACCTAAGTAAACAGATTTAACTCTGAATACACACAAGGAACAAATCTGATGGGTAAGAAGGAATCATTTTCATATAATTACTTTTCAGAATAAGAGAGACTTATAAGGTAGGTTAAATTTGGCACCTAAACAACTTATATGTTCCTCTAAATTCTCTAGCACAGCAGTTCCCAAACTTGGTTCACAGCTTGTTCAGGGTAAGCCTCTGGCGGGCTGCAAGATGCTTTGTTTGCCAGAGCATCTGCAGGTATGGCTGTACTTAATCCTAGCCAAGTGATATGCAAGTGTAAGTTAGCTGACAGTCTAGATAATTAAACTTTTTACTGTGACACAGAAATTTTCCAAGATAGGTAATCCTTGTTTCTAGTCATGACTCATTGTTCAGAGCAGTAAAAAATTGTAGAAACTTTAAAGGCATAGGGAAAGGGATATGCAACATGCATTGACTGTGTTATATTCAAATTTTTAGCAGTGTGGCTATTATTTAGGGAACTAATTTAACAAAATTACTTAAAGACAAGCAAAAATGGAACTTTTAAAACTCTGTTTACCATTATTTCATTCTTCTTGCATATTTTTTCCCTTTAAGATTACCAGCAATGCTACCAGTGACCTAAATATAAAGGTTGACGGACGTGCCATTGTTCGTGGAAATGAAGGTGTTTTCATCATGGGCAAAACCATTGAGTTTCGTATGCATGGTGATATGGAACTAAAGGCAGTAAGTATTTTATATTGACAAAATTATTTCTAATAGCTCCATGTTAAAACGAAGAAGAAGAAAAATTAGGCTCTCTCATTTTTTTGGATGGATTCAAATCTGTAAATTCAGGATAAAAATATAATTTAGTAGCAGTTCAATTAATTGTAGCATTATAAAAGCAAATGTAATAATTTACTTATTCATCTTTTGAAATAGTGACTGAAAAACTTTGAGTTAGTAATTATTTCATACTGTATGCTTTTTGATGTTATGTTAATGATGTGGACAATCTGAAGTGGAGAAGAGGTTAAAGGGAAAAATATTAGATTTTAGAAGATTGATGTTTAAAGTCTGGTTTGTTCTGGTTCACAAGTGAAGATAAGCTTGGTGGGCTCATTGTATTGTGCATCACACATCTAACTACCACAAAATGAGTAGTGTGCTCGGTATTGGCCTATGAGTGGAATAGCAAGGTATGCTGCGGGTCAGAACTGAGATGTATGAGCACTACGTTCACTCGTAATTTTTTTTTAAATAAAGTTCTTATGCAAAGACTTAAAATATAAACAAAATTAATAACCTTTCTTTTGTTATCTTTAGGGTAGCTTTGAAAATAAGCTATTCATTTACATTCTTTTGGAAATAAACGTCCTACTTCTATTAAGTGATAAATTGTATAATTATTCTTTTATTAGGAAAACAGCATTATCTTAAATGGAACTGTGATGGTCAGCACATCTCGGCTTCCAAGTTCTTATGGGGAAAAGTTTAATAATGTTGCCTGGCTGCGCTACAAGCTCTGTATGTGTGCAGACGGAACTCTATTCCGAGTTGAAGTGAAGACCCGCAACATGGGTTGTCAAACCTCAGTCAACCCTTGTGGAACCATACACTAAACGCAAAGTACTGGGACAAGAGCAGTCATGAAGAGAGTTCATTTACGTTTTTACATTTGTGTGTATAAAACAATTGCATGCCAATTATTTCTGTTTACACAACAGTTTATTATAATATTTATTACTAACATTTTTAGCACAGCAGTATTATGTCTGTTGCATAATTTCAGTATTTACAATAGAGTATTTACCATAATAATGGGTCTGATTTAGCAAGATACTTAAGCACATGCTTCAACATACACACTTGATCAAGTACCTTGCTGAATTGAGGCCAGTAAGAGAGATTTACTGGGGGACTGATCCTACAAGATGCTGAGCACCTCCTGCAAAGAGTCCTCAACTCCTTGCCTCTGAAGTGCTGTTTTACTTCCTCTCACCTCAGAACTCTGAGAAGTTGCTGGAATCTGCATGGAGTGAGGTGTAGAGTTGGGAGGATGCACATTGTTCCACCTTGGGCTCTGCAGAGATTCCTTGGATAAAGCAATACAGTTTGCAGCTCTGTTACTTGTTCCACAGAGCCTCTTTTTGGTTGCGCAGATCATTCTGTAAGAAGCAGACTTTGCAGTAACTGTGGTAAGAGGGAGGCGCTGGCAGCATAGGCTTCATTGGAGCCATGCTTTGTGGCAGTAACAGGAAACCAACCACAAAGGAACAATTGGGATGGATCTTTCCAGTTCGTTAGAGATAAACCCTACAGGAAGGGGCCAAAAGGCAATCTAGCTTCTTTTATATATATGTGTTATATGCTGATTTTCAGCCCACCCTCAACCAGACCTTCATTTTTGCACCAGTAATTACTTAGAGTGCAATAAAGGTCCGTCATCTAAGTAACTGCTTTGTAGAGACAATCTGTACCTGACATCCAAGTAACCTTTTCTCCATCTCCAAATAGCCATACTCACTATTTGGATGCAAAAACAGAGGCTAGCTTTCAAAACTATAGCCCTGTAAATGCAGTGAAATCTTTATTCAAATTGCTTCAGTTTTTATTTGCAGTTGATAAATATTGACTGTTGGAATATTAATATGAACTCTTGACAATTTTCTTTTGATTATTTTCAATTAATTAGAGAAAAGCATATGTTGACTTATTTGATCCTTAAGAAGACATTAAGAAAAATCTGTGCCCAACATTTTAGGTGGAACTGGGACAGTCAACTATTGTATTGTATCTGCTTTGATATTTAGAAGCTTGTCTTCTACTTTGAAAACCCATTTTTTATTTTTATTTACACAGTTTTTTCTTGGGTACCTTAATAAAAAATATTCTATGGTATTCTACAGGTGAGGATTCAAAACACTGTAATAACACTATTGTAGGCCATAGTGATTGAGACCATTACTTTTCTAAATAAAAAAAAAAGTGTAGCTATTTATAATGACTAGAAATATAATAAATTTGTTACTAAGTAAACTGGTATTTAAATTCGAAATTGAGCAGATGTTCTGTAGTTATAAATGTGACAGTAATCTAGGTCCCAATTCTGCATTGTATGGAAGCATCTGCCTAAATTTTACATTATGAGAATACATGCTTAAAAGTTAATGCAAGTTCTTACGTATTGTGATGAATTGGGGTCTTAATGAAACCTTTGCACTTTGAGAATGATGGCAGCTTTTATTAAAACCCTCTTAACTGTTTTTGGAGAGAGAATCATGTATTCCAGTGTAAAAAATAAACTTGCTAATTATAAGGCTTTTATACTTGTTACCTTAGAGACTAACAAATTTATTTGGACATAAGCTTTTGTGGGATATAACCCACTTCATCAGATGCGTTGAGTGGAAAATACAGTAAGCAGATATAAATATACACCACATGAAAAGATGGGAGTTGCCTTACCAAGTGGGGGATCAGTGCTAATGAGGCCAATTCAATTAGGGTAGAAGTGGCCCATTCCCAACAGTTGACAAGAAGGGGTGAATATCAACAAAGGGAAACCTCTCCAGTGCATCATCAAGGATCTACAACCTATCCTGAAGGAGGATCCCTCACTCTCACAGACCTTGGGAGACAGGCCAGTCCTCGCTTACAGACAGCACCCCCAACCTGAAACAAATACTCACCAGCAACTATACAGCACACAACAAAAACACTAACCCAGGAACCTAGCCCTACAACAAACCCTGTTGCCAAATCTGTCTGCATATCTATTCAAGGGACACCATCATAGGACCTAAAAACATCAGCCACACCATCAAGGGCTCATTCACCTGCACATCTGCCAATGTGATATATGCCATCATGTGCCAGCAATGCTCCACTGCCATGTACTTTAGACAAACCGGACAGTCTCTATGCAAAATAATAAATGGACACAAATCAGAAGTCAAGAATTGTAACATTCAAAAACCAGTAGGGGAGCACTTCAGGCTCTCTGGACACTCAATAACAGACTTAAAAGTGGCCATTCTTCAAGAAAAAAACTTCAAAAACAGACTTTAACGAGAAACTGCGGAACTGGAATTAATTTGCAAACTTGACACCCTCAAATTAAAGACTGGGAGTGGCTGGGTCACTACAAAAAATAATTTTCCCTCTGTTGATACTCACACCTTGTCAACTGTTGGGAATGGGCCACTTCCACCCTAATTGAGTTGACCTCGTTAGCACTGACCCCCAACTTGGTAAGGCAACTCCCATCTTTTCATGTACTGTGTATATGTATCTTCCTGCTGTATTTTTCCACTCCATGCATCTGATGAAGTGGGTTATATCCCATGAAAGCTTATGCCCAGATTAATTTGTTAGTCTCTAAGGTGCCACAACGGCTCCTTGTTGTTTTTACTGATACAGACTAACACGGCTTCCCCTCTGATACTCGTTACCATTAGTTAGAAATAGTGTTGCTTTCTGTTAGCCACTAGTGATCTTAATAATGGAGGCCATGTAAGTGATTTCCTGTGAATGGTTATTAACAGGCTGTACTAGTACTAGAAATTTCTAGTACTAATAGGTATACAAATGTTACATATTAACTTCCCCACTGAATGTGGTACTTATGAAAAGATAAGTAAGGTCTAATCTAATTTTATTGGCTGACACTACACGAAGGTGTGGTAGGCATGTCACAAAAGACAGTCCCAGTCCTACGCTGGGCCCTGGTGATGTCAGTGGGTCTCTGCACAAATGCGGGAGTGTACACATATGGAGCTAATTGCAGGATTGGGACCTTAGTTTAGACATGATGCAACAACTGAGTATGTCAAACAGGAGAGAGGAGGTGGTATTAGGTTGAATGATGGCAACAACAAAATGATTTTTACTCCAGTGGTTTACTTTTAAAAAAACAACAGTGAAAGTAATTGTCTCGCTCACTTTAGACACGGAATAAATGTTGATAACATTTTGCACAGACACAGCATATTTCATTCATGGAGCTTAAATTGCTTTACAGAAGTGGATATTTGTTATCCCTATTAATATTCTTTAAAATATAAATTTACCTGAAACATACAAATTCCTTAGCTATTTTAAGTATTGGTATATAGAACTTGTGTGTTATAGCTCAACATGGCAAAGAAACAAAATGAAAAGCTTTTAGTATTTTCACCCCATATTACTAATGGCAGACTGATACTTTATGGGCTTCAATTTATAGAAGTTTCATTTTAAAAAGTTTTCAGCAGCACTTTCTGTCAAAGGTATATATAAAATCTGTATGGACACATTGTGGTCATTATATGGTTAATATTGATAACTTTGGCTAATTATGTGCATGACCACATGACTGCATACAGTACCTGGATTTAGAGTTCTTCTCACTGAGGTACTAAATGCAAACCTGTTTGAAAGAACTTATCTCAAAAACCTGTAATAGTGTTAAATTATGTCTTTGGATTTGTTTAAAATGTTCATTTGCAATTTAAAGTTAGCAAAAATAATCTTCATTCCTTTAAGGACTGATATGTATGGTGCTTGCTAATTATTTGTAAATTTTCTTACTATATTTGGTTGCCTTCCATAAACTTTACACAGATTGAAAAAAATATGGATGCGATATACACCCTGTGTTGTGCATTTAATTGTGATTTAACTTCTAACTGCATCCCTTTATATTTTCTGGATGTTTTTGTTTAAGTCGAAGATTTCTTGTGTGCTCCTGATTTATTTAACAACTAGATACATTTGAGATTCTAGGAATATTGAAGTACAGACTACATGCCTCTGTGTAAAATAGTGTTATGTACTTCCAAAACCTCTTGTTCTTGAAGAAAGTTATTCTCAGCATTTGTAATTATTGTTGTTTCAATATGTAAAACAGAATGTTGAGTTTTTAATCCATATGTTTTTGAAGTGAAACAAATAAATTCTAAAAATCTAGACTCTGCTTTAAAATTTTTTGGAAGTACAGTATGTACTAAATTTAGTTTAAAATATGTTGTTGGTTTAATGATGATACAAGTATTTTATTAACTAAAAACATGAGAATTATTCCATATCTATGTGTCAGATTATGACTGGTAGACTTTGCTCCCTGATAAGTATATACAATAGAGGAAATTGAAGTTCAAAAGTCCCTGATGTTAGTAGTTCACAAGTTTCTGAATGGCTGCGCTACGGACTGATCATCTGTGAGAAAAGTAAGAAAATTTGAAAATAAGGTTTTAGCAACTTCAGACTAAATGCATTTTTCAAAGTAATTGTGACTCTCTTAAAGAAACTGAATGTTTAATATGAACTGGCAGTGAGGTTTTTTTTCTTTACTTTAAAGAAATACATTTAAGGTTTTTCTGATTTCTCTTTGGTCCTTAATTATTATAATTTTGAATATTTATTTCTAGATATTATGGCAAATCCTTATATGAAGGTCATAATTGTGGTCCTTTGCCTGAATTTTACCGGATTGTCAGAGACCAAATCGCAGAAGACTGGTGTTGGTATCTATTACAATTCTGACTGCTTGTGGGATGGGAAGTTCTTGATGAATTGTTCTTTCACTGGAAAATCGACTATCCCCACAGACATATCACAAACAGTAACAATTGTTGATTTAAGTTATAATAATATTACTATCTTGCTGTGGTCTAACTGGAGAGATGAAAAATGGAATATCAAATATCTGAATCTTAGTAATAACCTGATTTCTGAGCTATCTTTAAATAGCTTTAGAAATTTACCATTTTTGGAAACTCTAAATCTCAGTGGTAATACCATCCACTATGTCACACTGGATATACATAAACCAGCACACTGGACTGATAAACACAGAAAAGTTCATACTTACAATCTCCTTCCTTCTTTAAAAGTCTTGTCCATTGAGAGAAATAATCTTACTGCAATTCCAAGAGGTGAGTAGTACCTAAGAGAATTGACTTCAAATATATAATTTTATAGATTGTTTTAATTAGTTGATTGTGTTATGTAAATCTGAATCTCATTTAATTCTGTGTTACATGTAGTGGACATGAAATATCCATAAAGAGATCAGAACAAGATTTACATGCTTTTCTATGGTCCTAGTCACTGTAGTAGCTGAATGACTCAAACATTAATGAATTTATCCTCAATACCCTGTGAGGTACAGAAGTATTATTTTCAGAGTGGTAGCCATGTTAGTCTGTATCAGCAAAAACAATGATGAGTACTTGTGGCACCTTAGAGACAAACAAATTTATTTGGGCATAAGCTTTCATGGGCTAAAACCCACTTCATCAGATGCATGAAGTGGAAAATACAGTAGGAAGATATATATACACAGTATATGAAAAGATGGGAGTTGCCTTACCAAGTGGGGGGGGGTGTCAATTCTAATGAGACAATTCAATTAAAGTGGGCTATTATCAACAGGAGGAAAAATCACTTTTGTAGTGATAATCAGGATGGCCCATTTCAAACAGTTGACAAGAAGGTGTGAGTAACAGTAGGGGGAAATTAGTTTTTAGTTTTTGTAGTGATCCATCCACTCCCAGTCTTTATTCAGGCCTAATTTGATGATGTCCAGTTTGTAAATTAATTCCAGTTCTGCAGTTTATCATTGGAGTCTGTTTTTGAAGTTTTCTTGTTGAAAAATTGCCACTTTAAAATCTGTTATTGAGTGTCCAGGGAGGTTGAAGTGTTCTCCGACTGGTTTTTGAATGTTATAATTGTTGACATCTGATTTGTGTCCATTTATTCTTTTACGTAGAGACTGTCTGGTTTGGCCAACGTACATGGCAGAGGGGCATTGCTGGAACATGATGGCATATATCACATTGGTAGATGTGCAGGTGAACGAGCACCTGATGGTGTGGCTGATGTGGTTAGGTCCTATGATGGTGTCCCTTGAATAGATATGTGGACAGAGTTGGCAACGGGGTTTGCTGCAGGGCTAGGTTCCTGGGTTAGTGTTTTTGTTGTGTGGTGTGTAGTTGCTGGTCAGTATTTGCCTCAGGTTGGGGGTGCTGTCTGTAAGCGAGGACTGGTCTGTCTCCCAAGGTCTGTGAGAGTGAGGGATCCTCATTCAGGATAGGTTGTAGATCCTTGATGATGCGCTGGAGAGGTTTTAATTGGGGGCTGAAGGTGATGGCTAGTGGCGTTCTGTTACTTTCTTTGTTGAGCCTGTCCTGTAGTAGGTGACTTCTGGGTACCCTTCTGGCTCTGTCAATCTGTATCTTTACTTCAGCAGGTGGGTACTGTAGTTTTAAGAAGACTTGATAGAGATCCTGTAGGTCTCTGTCTGAGGGATTGGAGCAAATGTGGTTGTATTTTAGAGCTTGGCTGTAGACAATGGATCGTGTGATGTGGTCTGGATGAAAGCTGGAGACATGTAGGTAAGTAGAGTCATCAGTAGGTTTCCGGTATAGAGTAGTGTTTATGTGACCATCACTTATTTGCACTGTAGTGTCCAGGAAGTGGATCTCTTGTGGGGACTGGTCCAGGCTGAAGATGATGATGGGGTGGAAATTGTTGAAATCCTGGTGGAATTCCTCAAGGGCCTCCTTCCAAGGGGTCCAGATGATGAAGATGTCATCAATGTAGCACAAGTAGAGTAGGGGTGTTAGGGAATGAGAGCTGAGGAAGCGTTGTTCTAAGTCAGCCATAAAAATTTTGGCATACTGTGGGGCCATGCGGGTACCCATAGCAGTGCCGCTGACTTGAAGGTATACATTGTCCCCAAATGTGAAATAGTTATGGGTGAGGACAAAGTCACAAAGTTCAGCCACCAGATTTGCCGTGACATTATCGGGGATACTGTTCCCGATGGCTTATAGTCCATCTTTGTATGGAATGTTGGTGTAGAGGGCTTCTACATCCATAGTGGCCAGGATGGTGTTTTATGGAAGACCAATGGATTGTAGTTTCCTCAGGAAGTCGGTGGTGTCTCAAAAAAAGCTGGAAGCGCTGGTAGCATAAGGCCTGAGGAGAGAGTTTACATAGCCAGACAATTCTGCTGTCAGGGTGCCAATGCCTGTGATGATGGGGCATCCAGGATTCCCAGGTTTATGGATCTTGGGTAGCAGACAGAATACCCCTGGTCGGGATTCTATGGGTGTGTCTGTGTAGATTTGTTCCTGTGCCTTTTTAGGGATCAGAGGGTAATGGCATGTAGAATGTGGTATCAGAGAGTTGCCTAGCAGCCTCTCGTTCATATTCCGACCAATTCATGATGATGACAGCACCTCCTTTGTCAACCTTTTTGATTATGATGTCAGAGTTGTTTCTGAGGCTGTGGATGGTGTTGTGTTCTGCATGGCTGAGATTATGGGGCAAGTGATGCTGCTTTTCCACAATTTCAGCCTGTGCACGTCAGCGGAAGCACTCTATGTAGAAGTACAGTCTGTTGTTTCGACCTTCAGGAGGAGTCCTCACAGAATCCTTCTTTTTGTAGCATTGGTAGGAAGGTTTCTGTGGGTTAGTGTGCTGTTAATGGTGTGTTGGAAATATTCCTTGAGTCGGAGACATCGAAAGTAGGATTCTAGGTTACCGCAGAACTGTATCATGTTCATGGGGGTGGTGGGGCAGAAGGAGAGGCCCAGAGATAGAACAGACTCTTCTGCCCGTCTAAAAGTATAGCTGGATAGATTAACAATATCGTTGGGTGGGTTAAGGGAACCACTGTTGTGGTCCCTTGTGGCATGTAGGAGTTTAGATAGTTTAGTGTCCTTTTTCCTCTGTAGAGAAGCAAAGTGTGTGTTGTCAATGGCTTGTCTAGTTTTTGTAAAGTCCAGCCATGAGGAAGTTTGTGTGGAAGGTTGATTTTTTATGAGATTTCCCCATGCTGTTACTCACACCTTCTTGTCAACTGTTTGAAATGGGCCACCCTGATTACCACTACAAAAGTGATTTTTCCTCCTGTTCCCGCACTTTAATTGAATTGTCTCATTAGCACTGACACCCCCCCCACTTGGTAAGGCAACTCCCATCTTTTCATGTACTGTGTATATGTATCTTCCTACTGTATTTTTCCACTCCATGAATCTGATGAAGTGGGTTTTAGCCCACGAAAGCTTATGCCCAAATAAATCTGTTAGTCTCTAAGATGCCACAAGTACTCCTCGTTTTTATAAGAATTATTGTCCCCCATTTTATTGATAGGGAACTGAGGCAAGCTTTTGTGAAAGTTGGGAACAATATGCAGGTCTCCTGAGCCCCAGTCCAGTACCTTATTCACAAGAACTCAGTGGAGAAAGGTGAGGAATTTTATAATACACTACTTTAAGAGATGGAGAAAATTTTGCATGAAATAGTTCAGTAATTTCAAAGTTTCACAAATTTAAAAACAGGCAAATTGTGAGAATTTTTTTCAAAACAAATATTTTGCCTAACACTTAGCTGTATATTAATTCAGTTCAATAAAAAGTTCAACCAAACTAGCAACTGTGGCTAGGAGGGGAAGGATTTAAGGCTCAGATACTTACTGCAGCTATATTTATTCACCGAGCACTTAAGTATGCTAGGCACCACACAGACACAAAAATAACCCCTACCCTAAAGAGCCTACAATTTAAATTTAAGCCAAGAGCAAGTAACTAAGAAGAATATATATATATAGTTGTTCATGATGCTCCTGGTGTGTTGAAGAAAAGGGAAAATTCATTTGCTTGTCTTTTGGACAGAATTTTTTGATCAGATTCACAAACTTTAGTGTCTAAGACTATGTCTACATTTCACAACCCTTTTGGCAGAATATAGGTTACAGGTAGCTACACACCGCTGTGAAAAGTGCACTGCGTCCATGCTGTGGTGCGTAGCTACTTATTTCAGTGAAACGCTCTGGCAGAGGCTAGGAAGTAGGGAAAGGCTTCAGCAGCTCTTCCCACCCTTCCCCCTACCCTCCACCAGAACCTTTCCCTGCTGCTAGAGCCTTTTCCTGCTAGACTAGAGCCTAGTCCCTGCAGCAGGGAAGGGCTCCAAACATGAGGAGCTATTGAAGCCTTTTCCTGATGCCTCCCCACTGCCAGCCTTTCCAGGGAAAGGCTCCAGCAGTGAGGAGACAGTAGGACACTACACTACTAAAAATACTGTAGACAGGGAGGCATGGCTGGGCGAATCGAGAGCTGCGTACAGCATGTACTCAAATACATACCCATACCCTTCAGGTACTCACTGCCTAAGTCATGCCTCAGTCTACACAGCTAATCACACCCATGCAAGGGGAGGGGCCTACCCAGGTACGTACACTACAGCTGCTGAAAGAAGCATGCAGTTTAGACACAATAAGTGTATGGTCTGCAGAGAAAAAGATTTACGTGCATACGGAAAAGTTCCTGTACAGCAGGCTAAACAAGCCTAAAGTCATACAAATCCTTCAGCACATGAAGAAGCAACTACTCAGCAGCAAGTGTGTTAACCTTCACCCCAGTATTCTGCCATTTTATCTCCAAATAGTTCTATAGCACCGTGGTAAGATGTTTTGCATTGTTATCTTGTTGAACCAATCATGCTTTTCTGTGAAGGCTGTAGCCACAGCTTGTGTTAGAACATGCATTGTTGAGTTTATTTACTGATTGTTTTGCTAGATAAACATAACCTTATGCTTGATAAGCTGTCATAAATGGGAGAGAGGATCTGGCTGTCTCTATCACACAGGAACACTGTTTGATGAAAATATTGGCATACAGGACGAAAACTCACTAACATACATAAATTAGATCGGGGTTTTCAAACTTCATTGCACCGCAACCCCCTTCTGACAACAAAAATCACTACATGACTCCAGGGAGGGGGACTGAAGCCTAAGCCCCATCATCCTGGGCCGTGGGGCCGAAGCCCAAAAGCTTCATCCCCAAGTGGGGGGCCTGTTATCTGAGCTCTGCCACCAGGGCTGAAGCCCTCGGGCTGTGGCTTCGTCCCCTGGCCCCAGCAAGTC